TATTTTATTTGACGTTTTGTAGGTTTTTTACATAATACCCGTGCCGGCTATGTTGCTACTGATGTTCGAGATTTTCGAACTATTTTCAGCAGTGGCTTGCTCTTGAACTAGGTATTTAATTTACAAATGTCTCGTCTGTCTAGAAAGCATGCTTCAATTGAAACCGTGTCCTTGTTCTGTTCAAAAATCGTTTTCGATCTCAAAATGTATTGAGTCAATTCCAGTTCTACTAGTAAGCACCCGTTCACCAACATCGAACCAACGAGGATGCGCTTGGAAATTAATTTGACTGAACACGGTAGCGGTGTTGGCGTACCGGAAGTACAAGCAGTAAATATCCTTTTGTTAGGATTAAACGTCAAACGGCAGTCGGAGCTTCGAACGCTCGACGTCATCAAACTGCCGGTCTCCGCAGCCAACTGTTGTTTAAATTGCGGTTTTTGCAACAGCGTCATCGCGACGGAAATATTAAACGGCTGTCAGCCGTGTACAGGCCCAGAACAGACAAGATTTATTGGAAGATACATCGTGGTCTACAGAAATGAAATATGCATCTTCTTTCTTTAGCAATGACAGTAGTAGTTTCATCATCGGACAACTACACCTGAAGAACACTAAAACTTGATGTCCAGACCTTTGTAAGTTACAATGTTCTGTTATGTGCTGTACCTGCCTATGCTTGGTGACATCCACGTGATTTGGAGCATGCAGGATATATGAAACTAATGGCCTTCCAATCTGCAGTAGTCTGCCACAATACAATTCTGGGGTATTTAGGAATAAGACAGTAAACTTCATTCTCTTGAATGTTAACTCTATACATTTCTTTTATGATTATAATAACATGGACCTAAGTACATAGCTTATATTCGCTTGTCGTTGCCTGCCCTGGCATTCATAGCCCGCTAACCAATACAAGCGCACCAACTTAAACTTCAGTTACGTGCTAGCGTTTCTTTTGATAAGGCGTAAGTGATATTTGAATAACACTTCAGACGCATCCTTTTGCCTGCACGCAGGCCTTAAATTAAAATATCCGTGAGTACTGTTGGGCTACAGGGGAGAGATAATTCGTCACACGGACTTTGACAGGGTATTATGGCGCCGCATTAGAGATCCGCTGAGTGGTACCTCCACGCTCGACATTCTGAGACCGTCTATCATCTACTAACAATTAGAACATTCATAGCCAAGAGAGATATTTCCTTGGGGCGGGATTCCAACCCGCGCAGCGCACGGTGAGTGATTAGTAGGGCCATAATATTTACCACTACGTTATCGCGCTGCTTGTCCTCGCTATTGTTACGAATTTTTTGTAACACCCTCGTATAAACAGAGTTTTTTCACAATATGCTTGAGGATGCCAGAGTTAAAAATTTATCAGCAATCATTGAGCTAACATTCTGAATAATGATAATAATAATAGGAATAAATTGTCTTTATTTAGGACGAAGTTTAGCTTATAGCTATTCTGCCACTTAACACTTTACAAAAATAAATTAACATCAAAAATAATTTAATGCAACGTGCAAATTATAGTACAATACTAGAAAGTAGTAAGAAAGTCTACTTAAGCTTCACAGCAGCGGTGCCCTGGTATTTAGGCTTCTGCTTGCGCGGCTGCTTCGGTGGAAGAAAATACTCCAGCTTCCAGCAAATCACCAACTTAATATGCTTTGCTGACTAGCGGAAAAGTCAAATTAATCTAAGTGATTCTCCAGCTTACTTTTAGCTGTAACTGGATAAACTCCGGTAAAAGGGACAAAGACCGTTAATAATGTTTCCTTTGTAATCAGATAAATATTTGGGGCGTATCAGTTGCCGGGATTGTTAATGAACGCTTCAACGTTCCAGACCTAAGGCCTTTATAACACTACGGTGGCAGACATATTAAATCTTTATCGTACGTTGAATATGCCGGTGATTCTCGCTGATATTTAAGTACTCGCGTGGTAATATTTAATGTTAGATTACTATGGTCAGTAATTCAATCAGTGCAAATTATATTGTTATATACAGCGCATTTTTAACTGCAGATTGGTCCCCAATTCGTAAAATGAATGATGTAAATGAAGCATGTTATTATTTTTATTCAATCATCAGAGAAATTTCAGAGAACAACGTTCCTCAATATAACATAAATCCTTGTTCATATCCTGCTTGGTTACAAAGGAAATTATTTCAAATATAAAAGAAAAGGATAGGTTCAGGAAAAAGTACAAAGCAACCCATTCAAGCCACTGTTATCTGAAATTCAAAGAACTTCGAGCTAGGATTAAGAATCAAAATATAGTCTCCTATTCAGCTTACATTCAAAATGCTGAGGAAAAGATCAATAAGGATCACACTAATTTTTGGTAATTTTTAAGTGCAAAAAAGAAAAGCTCTAGAATTCCAGGGAACATGACATTTAATGAAAACACTTGTACCCCGCTACAGGATATAGTCGATACTTTTGCAAAAATTTTTTCATCTGTGTTTATAAATTCTGATTCTTCTAATTCTGAGATCATGACTTCTAATTTAACTAGTATGAATATATCTCTGAACACTGTAAGTGAAGCGGATATACCTCATGCTTCCAGAAAGTTAAAGAAAATGACTTGAGGCTATGATGGTGTTCCTAGTTTTTTAATAAAGGATTTCATTCATGTATTGGCGAAACCGCTTTGCATGATCTACAGTATGATATTGTTAACTTGCTCTTACCCTCGTATCTGGAAGATGACTAAGGTATGTCCTGTCTTTAAAAGTGGCGATAGAAGTAATATTTGTAACTACTAGGCAGATTGCGATACTTTGCAATTTTCGTCAGATTTTTGAGGCTATTATTTATAATACCATTTTCAACTCTGTCAAATGTACTTTTTCTGCTAACCAGCATGGTTTTGTTGCTGGAAGATCACAAATCTGACCTGCCTAACTGTCACTGAGGTATTAGATGATCAGGGTCAGTTGGATGTCATTTATACCAACATTCAAAAGGCCTTTGATCAGATAGATCATTACTTGCTTCTTGCTAAGCTTGAATTGATTGGGTTGCTTAAATCCCTATTGAAGCTTATCAGATCATATTTATTTGATAGAAATCTGCACGTTGAGTTTGGTGGTTTTAAATCCAATTCTTATACATCAACATCTGGAGTGCCACAAGGATCTAATTTCGGTACTTTGTTTTTGTGTTGTTTATCTATGATCTGTCGCTGGAATTGCCTGGTATGCATTTTCTTTATGCTGATGACTTAAAAATGTATACTGCTACGTATTCAGAGCTATCACGACTGTATCTCTCTTCAAAACAGCTTGAACTCGGTGCATTCTTGGCTAAAGTTCTGTCTTTTAGTAGGAAGCAAAACTTAATACATTATGATAACAGTATCAATGATCACTTACTCCAACGAACAGAAACGTTCAAAGATTTGAGTGTTGTATTCGATGCCAAGCTGACATTCAAGGATCACATCACTCAGCGTTTAAGACGCTAGGCTTTTTTGTAAGGAATTGGTTAGGGTTTTCAAACATATCAACTCTGAAGCTTTTATATTTTACATTTATTAGAAGTAAGCTGGAATACGCTTCATTAATTTGGTCTCCAATCTACAACAATTGAAGGGTTAGTATTGAATATGTGCAGCGTAAGGCTTTAAAGTATTTGTATTACAAATTTTATGGCAATTATCCTGAAAGAGGTTTCGACCATTCTATTTTATTAAACATTTTTGATATAGAGTCATTGCATCTTAGACTGTGATATGTCAGCGCTACATCTTTTGTACAAAATCATACACAATCAAGTTCATTCATATTAAGTAAGCTTAATTTCCGTGTGCCTAGGTTGGGAAATCGTGTTCAAATCACTTTCTATCTGGTTATTGGTAATACTAATGTAATGTCTAGATCTCTGGTAAATATGATTTGTACATGTTTTAATTCTGTTAGTAGTTCCTGTGATGTATTTTTTGATTGTGAGAACTTTGTTATGAAGTGCTACAGAGACTGGTACTTTTTTCAGTGAGAGTTAGTTTTTTCTTTTTTTAAGTATAGCGTTACCGCTGTTGCTAATTATGTAACTTTTTCTTGTATTTCTCCTGTAATTGGGTGTTACCTGTTGGGAATAAATAAAAATAAATAAATAAAATAAAAAACTAATGACAATTTGTCTAATTACAGAACAGTTGTTAGGCGGTGTATAGTTACAATTACTTTATTAACACTAATATAACACTGTGTGCTATTTTTTCAACAAAATTTATCTCTTCAACGTCTGGGCGTTAATTAACCAATTGTCGATTATTTGAATAGGGGGTTGTGCCTGAAGAGTTAATTTATATCCATACAGTCTATGGAATGCCCGCTTTAACAGCAGTAATCCTCTCTACAAAATAAGCACCAGCCGAGAACCATAGTACCTCCATAAACTGTAGAATGAATTGTAATAAAACTATATTTTTTCAAAAATTGGAATTTATTGTGCTTTTATAATATGTTAGGGTATATATTCATTACAAAGTAAGGGGTCAGTGTCTTGTACTAGAAGTGATCACGGTAAAAAGTAAATTATTTGTGTTATACCGGTTCTATTTATTATTAATTGATTTTGACGAATTTAGTGCTTAAGTCTAAAAAAAGGAGTCAATGTTCATTCATAATAGCGATAAAAAAACAGAAAACCGCCAACAAAGAAATGACATGAAGCATTTTTTTCTAGCATGATCTATTTTTCCGTCCAGTTACCCTTTTCACTTCAATAATAGTTTTTCTGCTGTCAATTTCCCCCGGGAAGGTATTTCGATGTTCACTAGATGCCGTGGACTTATGTAAGTTTTTAAATACCAACTGGATTCGCAGGGGGATCGAGGCCCCTCTTGGCACCCCCTTGCGAGCTCTCTTGTTAAGTGAAAAACTAGTTCCACAAGACCCGTTGCCCTTTATGTCAGGGAAAAGCTTATAAACAGTGGAATTCTATTTTTTTAGAAAAATGCATTTTGCATCTTTGACCACCACTTTGATTATACAGAAAATTTAAAAAATGGATGAATAATGTTGAACATAAAAAAATGAAAATAGTTGACGCAAAATTCCCTATTCCTCCTGTCAAGATAGACAATGCGCAAGCTGTCAAACTTTAGCGTTTTTTCGGATAAGATAATAATCAGAACCCATAGGTGTTTCATACCATATGAATATTCTTACTTTAAAACGGTCTGTCCGAATATATGATGGGAAATATGACACTCCATTAAAAAAATCAAGTTAGGACTGACCGACGAATTTAAATAGTTTCTGTTGCAGTACTCCGTACTGGATGAATGGGACACCCTGTATAGGCTTTTCAATTAATACAATTCTTCATACGTGCACATTTTGCTCTACTCCATTTCAGCACCGACCCATCCTTATCGCAAATTAAAAACCATTCACATAGTAAATTTTTTGAATAGGTCCTTTAATACGGGAAACTATAAAGTAGATAGAACTATCCATAACGAAAATAATGCCTTTATTTAACATTATTCACAGATTTTTGAAACAGAGAGGGAAATCACGAACGATCAGACATTCCTATGCATTGGCACTGGCAGAATCCTTGATAGCAAAATCCCTTCATGAATTCCTTGCTGATGCAGCGCTCGTTACATGAAGTATCTTCACATGGTTCCACAGAACCACCTATTACGGAAGGTGCGCGGACGCTCAAAACCGACCGGACTTCTGAAAAAAAAATAATTCGTCAAGTAGGTTAACTTTGAATTTTCTACACGACGCTATCATCAGTTTATAGAGGATTATGTTCGGCACAAGTTGATCCCTCTGAGAAGAAAAGTTAGCTAACATGTCTAATACATAAATAGAACGGATGACGTTAGGCTAATACGTATTTCATTTTTTCATGTTTTTTTGTACAGTTTTGGGGCTCTCAGAAGTTTTTATCTTGTCGATGGATGGCCCCCCCTTCCCCTGAGAAAAATTCCCGCGGACGCATATGATCGAAGATATGAGTACATTAGGCGTGGATGACAATTGGCTCACATCCACATCCAGTCCAGCAGAGGCGGACTGCTACACACATGCATCGGCAGGACCCCGAAGCGTATAATCGGCTCGCGAGGGTCGGAAACATTCTAAGTTCTAAGGATACTTGTACGAGAAAACCTATGATGAGTAAAATATGTCTAAAAGGTGCATAGAAATTTTCACATACCATAGATATTTTTCGTCCTTGGCATAGATTGAAAATTTCATCAAAATCCGACCGGTACTTTTCAAGTTATAGAGGGATCAAGCATCAGCTGACAGACATACAGACATGCAAACAGACAGAAATGGGTGACATGATCTTTCGTGACGTACATATCATATAGCACCCAAATGGTTACAGAAATGATATATTTGTTAGTACAAATATATTACTTTAGTAATTGTTAGGACGTGATTGCTGTAGCAATCTTGTCCTGTTGCAAGGGACTATTTGGATGAGCAGCATAATATAAGATATCCTGTTTAAAAATATTAACATTTTTTTTCTAAATGAAAGCTCCCATATTTTCTAACACATTCGAATAGATTCATCCAATGTAAGAAAATTGTAGGAGATAACGGTTTTGACCATTGCATTGGTGCAAAAACCGCTCGACTTAAACAGCGAGCTAGTCCACCATTTTGAAAGACATTGTTGTTTTATGCTATAGCTGTAATGAACACATAATGGACAAAATAAGGTATCACGTGACCACTATCGCCACATTGAAACCTTCAACTGCCATTTCTATGCCAAAATCTAGTATTTATGCCTTAATGTCATCATTCCGAATTTCACCTGGCCAACTTGACCCGTTCAAAAAGTAATTAGAGGGGGGGACCTTTTGAAAAGCTCTCCAATGGAAGCTACACATACCTTTGTCCTTCTGATTGCGTTTTCTATCCCTTTTCGGTAGATTTCATGATGATTATTCAAATAGCTTTAGCTCCTTTATAGTGCTTTGTTTAGTTAGCATGAACTTTATTTTTCTGAAATCTCCACGTGAAGAGGCTATTACAGCTGGTGATCTTGGGAGTCATATGACATAGAAGACACCTGATAATATCGATGTAGGTAATATCGATGCAGATTGGGTACCGTTGTTGAGGCATACACTGGAAACCAAATACCACTGACGTCGTAATGTGTACAAGAGAGAAGCTCTAGAGGCGTGCAATTCGTGCATTTGGAAAATGTAGAAGAATCTCGTTGCCTAGCAACGCGAGTACGCCTCTCGCGCTTCTCTCTCGTATACATCACGACGTCAGCCAAATTTAAACCTCACCGTAGACGACAATGTTGATTAAGCAAGTATAAAAAAATAACCTTGTTTGATTATTTCCATTCAATTCCTTTATGCTTTCGTATTAATGTTTGATGTTTGATTTTGTTATTTCAGAACTAATTACTGATGCTAGACATGATATTATTCGTATGAGATGGGACAGAAAGTATTACTAATTTAATAATAACTTCACTTTAATTTCCAATCGAAATAATAATCGGATTTGAATTTAAATACCGTTTTTTCTTTGTAGGTTTTGAATTGTATCAAGTATATTTACCTATAGTCAACGCCAAACAAAGTGGCGTGCACGTCATCAAGGTGGGTGTGTTGAAAAATTTACATTGTTGCCAAACTTTTTGTAAAATAATAAAATTTATTATTTACATATCTAGGTTTATAAGCAATATTAACCTCAAATGAGAACAAAAATAATAGTATAATAAAATTATAGATCTGTACTTGCATAATCATTAAGTATGACAATTATTGATCAGATGACACTATGAAACTACCATATTTAATTGATAGCTTAAAGGTACTGAATAAAAATCCAAATGGGGTCCTCCAAATTTTATGCATGGTATTTATTTTACAGAATTCATACAGAAAAATGCATTCTAAAATTAGGTAAGCTACTGGTGTAAGCTTTTTCTGTACAATAAAGTTAATCGGAGTTTCTTTCTTCAGCGCTGTCTGAATCTGAATCTTCATCACTCTCAAAGTTGATTATTAAAGGTTCGATGTCTGGTCGATCAAAAATTCGTTCTCTTTCATACCATTTAAAAATTTCTTGCTCAGTATGTCGAACACTATTTTTCCACATGTCTGGGGTAACCGTTTGTAGAGCCTCGTTCCACATATCCAAACAGTCTTTTTCACTGTGACCATCTCTACCAATATGTCTGTTATAGTAACCTTTTGCTATGCCCCAAATTAACTCAATAGGGTTAAATATACAATGGTAAGGAGGCAGACGAAGAACTTTGTGCCCATGTTGTTCCGCCAATTCATCAATCACGTATATTTTAGGTGGTTTGTTTCTAAAAAAGCAGTTATTTTAAGAATAGGAATAAACAAAAGAAATATAAACTGTCGACCAAAATATATATAATTAAGAAGCATTATGTACCGAGCAACAATACTCAATAGCTCTGTTTTAAACATTGTGTTTAAAAATGGTATGTTTTGATTTGTCAACCAGTCTTGGATATTTTTTTTTGTCCATGCATTGTTGGGCACTTTGTTCAATATCATGCTGTGATAAGGGGCGTTATCCAGTATAATCATAGATGGACTCTCCAATTTTTCTAATAACTGATGTTGAAACCATTTCAAAAAATTGTCCTGGTTCATCTCTCCATGGTAATCGCTCAATTTTGTTTTCGAAGAAAATATCGCTTCACTACCCTCAATAAACCCATTTTCATTTCCAGCATGTAATATAATGTATCTAAAATATATTAGTTTTAAATTTTATAGTGCAAATTGTGTAAAAGTACATACCTTTTACCATCTGTTTTAATAGCTTTCACGCTTTTTTGGTTTCCATTTTGCCAAGAGCAACCTATGGTCCCATTTTGAAATATCCAAGTTTCATCGAGGAAGACAAACTGGTATAAGGCCTCAACCTTGGCTTGATTGTATTGCCTTAGAAATTCCACCCTTTTCAAAGCTATACTTGGTAGTTCCATGAGCCCTCGTCGCGGACTGTCCTTAAGCCACTTAAATCCAAGATCTCTAAGCAACCGCCTTAAAGACGTGGCACTACCATCAAATAATGCCCTATCTCTTAATCGAGACCATAAAGTTTGTATCGTAACTTGTTCTTCTGAAACCATGTGTAATATGACATTATAATTTAGTTAACAAATTAATGCAAATTTCTGATAAGTTATTATAATAAGATCTTACTTTTGTGATACATATTATAGATCACTTCTCGAATGGCACTTGTATCCAATGTCGCTGTGTTGGTTACACGTTTAATATAACTCCGCTTTTTCTTGGGCGATTCTAAATTTGCATCACTTTTCACACCCTCGGAAATACGACTAACTGTCCTTAAACTAATTTTTAAAGCAGCAGCAACACGCTACAAAAAATGAAATAAAATTTCACTATTATTAATATACATTACATATAATTATTAGTAACCTACCTCTTGAACAGCATTTAAAGGCAACAAAGGCCCGTTGTTGTCCCTTTCTTGCTCAAAGTAGTGCATTAACGAGGCCACGAGTTCCTTACACCGACTATTTAACTGTTTGGGCATCTTTATATACCAAAATTGCCTTTATCTACTCGTAAAATGAATAATTTTGTTTTGAAACAAACAGTTGTTGATTTACAGTATGCGGGGCCAAAGGATTTATAAAGATTTGAAATGCCACAAATTGATTCAGTGTCAAAATTAATACAAATGTCAGTTCCCAGTTTAAATAAGTTTCAAGGTGACAATGTGTCAACGCTGCGAAATCGGTTTAGTGCGTTTATATGTCGATAAGTGGTTGGAGCGTTTGCAAAACATTTTATTTCGCATAATGCGTCTAAATTTATCAGAAAGCAACTTATGTGATATTTTAATAACAATGTTTATATGACTATTAACCATAATAAGAGAGTAATGACCATTTTACAATTTATATATCACATTAATATGAAACTGCAATAGAGCAATTGTTTGTGATAGAAACCTAGGCGTTAGGTCGGGGAATTTTTATCGTGATGACGTGCACGCCACTTTGTTTGGCGTTGACTATAGTTCTTCGGCAGCTGCAAAAACAGCCATCAGGGAAAAAACAGAAAGAATTGGGCACAAGTATTTCATTTTGTACAATTTTGTGTAATGTCGGTACTGCAGGCACGTGTAGCCCTAATCTCTTGCTTATATACGCAACAACTAAAATAAAAAATGTTATCTGTAAGTGTTTTGAGTGAGGAAACTCTTTAGATTGTGAGCTTAATTATTCATAGTGCGCCAGTAATCGATGCATAGTAAATAATATCACTATATCTACATCGAAGATAACAGCTCCTATTTTTCTTCTTTCATCTTATTTTTTATTTCAAAGAAGATTCTCTAGGTTTAAAGGAGTTAGATATATCAGTTAAAGAAACTTTTACATTTTCAGTCTGCACTGGAATAAGAAAAAATATTATGATCAATTTTGTTTTACTTTCCACGCCTACTGACGAGACAGTATTGTAATAGCGAGAAAATCAGGTACTTTAGTTTAATGATATTCCAGATGCCCCTGATCGTTTCCTAGAAATTTTTTGTAGGTGTTAAAAATTCGGGCTGGAGGTTTTAAGGGACAGGGGAGGGTATACCTCAGTTTTGGATGTTCGTATACTATGCGCTGCCAACCATGGTAATTCTATGCACCTATTGGATATATTTCACGCGTTACACACCATTTGCCAAACTTAGAATGATAAGAAAAATACGTATGGTGTGAGGTGAGTTAACTAGCTATATGAACTATCTGCGCTGTCGGTATAGCAGCGAACATATCGTGCGATTGATTATATCGGCATGTCTGTCTGGGTTGATTCGTTTTATTTCTTTGTTATATGGACATGTTGGTATCATGTTGTGCCAAACATCATCCCCTGTGAACTGATGAGAGCGTTGTGTAGGAGGTGCAAGATCAATCTACTTGACTCCATTTTTATATAGGATGCAACAGCGGAGTCGAGAGCACTTGAGAAATGTGGATTATGAAACTAATAACTGTAATAATACTTGTCCAACACTTATAGAATGTTATGGAACCGTACAAACCTCAAATATGTTCAGTGTAGTTTATGCTTTGTCACGAAGTACACAGTATCCAATTATGAAGTCGAGAACGTCACCCCATAAGAACTTTGCCTATGTTCTGACTTCAATCATACATATTGTTACCTACATGAATAATACTGCGTATGCTAGAGAAGTGGAATTTTGACCACCATCTTGTCTGGACGTCCGAATTCCCAAAGCTGCGTGTTTTCGAGGCGAAAGCCTGATTCGTGGCAGACATTTTCCGACTCCATTTTTTTCATAATTACATTTGTTGGATGACTTCTAATATGAATCCAGGGTTATAAGCTGGTGCAAATTCATTTGAAAAATAAAAATAAATGTGTGTGGAGGTAGGCTAAAATCTGACAATATCCTGCCAATGGTATATGCCTTTTGGATCATTATGAACTTTTCAATTTGATATAGTTTATACATTTTTGAAAGTTGACTGTTGTCAAGTTGTGAGCGATTTTAACTCTGAAAAAGCCTGAAAATGTCTGGATCAATGTTCAAACACCTTCAAGTTTTGTGTCCGGGCTCAAATGAAAAAAATAGGTTGTTCAGCTATAACGGTTATATATAAAGTATTTCTTTATTTAATATGGGAACTAGGTGCCCATCTTACATAAATGGTGTAATTTTTCTCTGTTAGTAAAATTGAGCCTGAAGGTTCCAGAAATGTTTCCATAATGTTACCGAGACTCCAAGCCAATCAAAATATTTATCAGTGGACTGCAAACTATTGCTGTGACATACACTCTATTATTGATGCCGTTTCAGCAAAACGTAGCCCCACATAAGATGAAGATTAATATCCCACATATGTTACGTGAATAGGCTGCTAAGATCATAAGACTTGATTCCATCTGGCTTTTATAATGGAGCTTTCAACGGTAGCAAGTAGTAGTGGTAGTAGAAGGCATTTATTTACTCCATTATATATGAATAATAACAACATAGAAGGACAATGTCTGTACATGGATCAGTCATTTATTGGAATGTGTTCCAAAATCAAAACGAAAAAGATAAAAGAAACTTAAAGAAAGAGGATGATGTTTTTTGAGAAATTTTGTAGGAATGCAATAATGTATTGTCTTCCTATTGCGCGTATGCATTCTAGGAAAATCGCATTTTTCTAGACAGGGGAAAGCTACTAGTCACTTTCAGGTAGTATAGCCCGACATATTCTTTCTATCAGCCCTCGGAATCCAAAAATGTAATAAGGTATTGCATTATACTTTTTGAGAAAAAGTAAATTTTGCGTCTTTGTCCACACTGTATTGATAATTCAGAGAATTCAAGAAATTGATGAATTACGTTGATATTAAAAAAAATTAAAATTGTTGGCACAAAATTCGCAACTGCACCTGCCAAGATGGCAGATGTGTAAACTGTCACACTTTAGTGGTTTTTCAGATACAAGACAACCAGTAACCAGAACCCATAGGTATGGTACAACAATCTTCTTCTTTTAAAAGGGTCTGTCCGAATATTTAATAAAAAATATAGTATCCCATTAAAGAAATCAACCTGGAACACCCTGTATAACAGTGATATTTTCATATATGTGCCCCTAGGTACCACGTGGTGCCCCTGAATTGTATTTTTTTGAAAAGCTCGTGTATAGATGAAACTTAGATACAACATTCGGTCCCCGCATGAATGGATACACCCTGTATAGGCTTTTCAATTGAAATTTTCGATATATCGCACACAGTTTAGCTCATTTTATTTCAACATGGATCCATTCTTATTACAAATCAAAAAATCGTTTAAATAGTATAATTTTTGAGTGTTTTCGGTGGGTTATAGAGTTCTACTTCCCTAATAACGTATAGGACCTTCAATATAGCAAACATATGGAGTAGATAGCATTATCGACAACAAAAATAATGCTTTACTTTACATTAGAAACAGATTTTTTGAAACAGAGAGAAATCACGTACGATCAGATTCTATTGGGCAGTGGCATATGCAATCGTGTCCATAGCAATATCCTGAATCGAAATTGTGGCTGATGCAGGCTTGGAGACATGAACCACGTTCACACCATGGCCGAGACCGTCTCGACATTGGCCGAACTTCTGAAACAAAGAATTATAAAATTGTAAATGAACGACTGACTTGTGCCTCTACTATCTTTGGAACGAAATCTTATAGATTTCCTTTTTTATCTCAATCTCTCATGTAAAGTTGGAAGTTATGAATGAAAAATGATATAGTGTGCTTTTAGAAAGGCCCCTGCGCCGTTATTTTTTTTAACTTCTCAAGTTAGCAGGAATTTAGAGTGACCAGCATGATCACATGATTCATACTCGACGCTGTTCAAAGGAGGGCTGTCCGACTGATTGATGCTTCTTATCTAACACACAGGACAGTCTCGGGACCCTTTCGTATGGATGGGCCGTTAGCGATTTAGCTCTCTTTTACCGCTACGCCAATGGGCTCCTCACAGCTCTCCTTCATGATGTTGCCGCGCGATGTACCTTCCAGACAGACCCGCCTGACTTCTTAACCGTGTTGAAATTCGTACGTCCAGAACTGGATGATACGACCGCTCCTTTGTCAATCTATATGAGGAGGCTTTTCACTGTTATGCTAACCTCAGGCAGTTTAAAATACGGACTAAAAAAGTATCATTAAGCTCTTCATAGCAGCCGCGGTGCATTGGTCTTTAGCTTCTGCCTTCATGGATGCTTCGATGTAAGAAAATAAAAAAGCTGAACTTTGGGGCGATGAAATGGTTGTATAGAGACATTATTTTAGCATGAAAGCGACACTTGAAAATTTGGAGATGGCGGCTGAGCCAAACCTTCTAATTTTTTGTCAAAAATAAAGTAGCTACTTTTGAAAATGGGTGACTGATAGGCCGCGAAAGTTGAGTATAATTGAACATTACAGTACGCTATACCAATATCTTTCTGTTGTAAAGCATTCTGTTTAAAAAGGCTGAAATAAGTTGCAGATGTTACAAGACTGAGAAGCTTTGACATTTTTTTCAAAATGGAATCACCCACACTTCATAACACATTCGAATAGACTGTTTCAAGATAAGAAAATTTGCGGGAAATACGCATTTTGGCCATTGTTGAAGGTACAAGTATTTCCTTGTAGGAAACTCGCTCAACTTAAATAGCGTGCCAGTCCACCGTTTCAAAAGACATTATTTTTTATGATGTAGTTGTATAAATATAATGAGGTATCACGTAACTCCTGACTCCATTTAAAAAAATTCTGCACTGTCACAATTTTTAAACTTTCAACCATCTCGAATTTCAGCTTGCTAACTTGAACCGTGAGTTTGTATCCTTATTTTTTCATGAGTGACTCACCCCGACCTGTAAATCCTTTCGAAGATGATAGTGCAGATCAAATCGCTAATCGCATAGCAAGCTTAGAATTAGGACGTAGAGAAATAAGACAAGCAAACGAAACTATAGAAAGAATAATGACGACCCCCAGTAGAAATAGTACTCCCCAGTTCGACATAAAATTACTCCAAATTGTCCCAGAATTTGATGGGAATCCCTGTAGACTATATAGATATTTAGAAATAAGTACAGATTTATTAAATAACTATTGGAACACTGACGATACAGTATGTGTCCAAAACAAAATACTGCTGCATGGCATTTTCTCGAAATTGACTGGTGCTGCAGAGCAAGTATTCTCTCTTAGCGCTTCCACAGACTGGCACAGCATAAAAAATTTGCTAATTGCTCATTTTGGTGATCAAAGAAACGAGAGTAGTCTTATTTCAGATATGACTGCCCTTAGACAAAATTCTAGTGAAAGTTCTTTACAGTTTTATTCTAGAGTTGTAACCATGCTGAATCATTTACATAACTATATAAATATTCATGAAACAGTTGATGCTATTAAAACAAGTAAAAAGGCACTGTATGATAGTCATGCATTGCATACACTTTTAGTAGGTTTAAAGGAGCCACAAAGTTCCATGATTCGGTCGATGAAACCTAAAAATTTGGCAGAAGCTCAAGCTTATATTTTAGAAGATAATAACATTAGATATCTACAAAAGGCTGGTGCACATTCAAATTTCAATAAGCCACCTCAGCCTGCCCTTCCATCCAAACCACATTTTCAAAATTTGTTTAAGCCTCAAATGCAGCCTATGAATCAATTTAGGCCTCAGCAAAATTTCAATTATCAGCCTCAATTCCCAAGAGGACCAGTTCCGATTCAACCTAGACAAAATCCTCTTCCACAAAAATTTCCAACAAACGCACAAGTTTTTGGCAATAGACCTAATGTTAATGTTTGGCGTAATCCGCCTAATCAAGGACCTTCCTACAGGCCTACTCCTATGAGTGGTGTTAGTAGCATCAATAGAAATAAGAATTTCCAAAATAATTATTTTAGGCCTTCTGGCCCAAGGAACTTTGCTTCTCAAGAATTACATAACGTTGAGAGTGATCCTTATGATCAAAATTTTGGAAACAACCCTTACGATGGCTATTACTCGGAATATTGTCAGGGTAGTGAAAATCAGTATGACTGTTCTGATCTATATTACGAAAACCCTGATGAGACACAAAATGATGTTTCTGAAACCGGTCAAAAGCCTGATGAAGAAAAACAAAATTTTCAGATGGCCGTGCCCATGATAGAGGAGACATAATATACTTAAACACGATTTATGACAAGACAGAATTACCTTATATTGAAATTAAAAATCCGCCTTTAAAGCTTCTTATTGATACTGGTGCAACGAAATCATTTTTAAATCCTGATCTTGCACAATTGCATTTTCCAAAATGTATTTATAAAGAACCATTCGAAGTAACTTCAGTTTTTCAGCATTCGAAGAGAGACTATTGTGCTAAAATTCCTGCCTTCTCAGAACTCAATGTCAGTGAGCCTATAAAATTTCATTTGTTCAAATTTCACAAGTATTTTGATGGTCTGATTGGTTTAGATATTTTGAAACTTCTAAATTCACATATTGACCTTAGAAATTCTATTTTGCATACCAAAAACGCCAATCAAATTTCATGATTTGAAAAATCGTTTGTTATTTTTCATAGAAATTGAGCCCTACACGGCGGCCCAAGCCAAAATTCCTGTCGATACTTATAATGGAGAAATTTTGATTCCAAATTCCAAAATTAGAGATTGTGTAATCAAGGAAACGCTTACTCATGCTATAAACGGTTATGCCCCAGTTGACCTAGAAAATCCAAGTAACACTTATCAAGAAATTTCCTTGTATGAGCCTATTGTTTAATTTCCATTCGACGCAAACAATTACGCTTTATTCCACGCTATCATTAAACCATCTGAATCAGCTTCGCCGTTGCGACGTGATATCAGTAACCTGATACGAACATCTCATCTCAATAATGAAGAAAAAACTCATATTCTAAAATTGTGTCAAACCTACTCAGACGTATTCTATTACGAGGGCGATGCGTTAACTTTCACAAACCAAATTAAGCATCATATTAGGACCACAGATGAAATTCCTGTTCATACAAAATCGTATCGTTATCCACACATGCTCAAAAACGAAATGCAAAGTCAAATTAGATCGCTTCTAGATCAGAATATTATTCGACATAGTAGCTCAGCTTGGAATTCTCCAGTTTTTCTCATTCCCAAAAAACCTGATGCTAGTGGTAAAAAGAAATGGCGTATGGTGGTTGACTATCGAAAGGTTAACGAAAAGACCATAGATGATCGCTACCCCATTCCATGTATTTCTGACATTTTAGACAAATTAGGTCGTTGTAATTATTTCACAACTTTGGATTTAGCTAGCGGTTTCCACCAAATTGAAATAGCCCCGGATGATATTCAAAAAACAGCGTTTAGTGTTGATGGAGGTCATTACGAATACCTTCGTATGAGTTTTGGTCTTAAAGGAGCACCAAGCACATTTCAGCGTGTTATGGACAATGTCTTGCGAGGACTAGATAACACTATGGTGTATATGGATGACATCATAATTTATTCTACTTCTTTACAAGAACACATTGTATCATTGAAAAAGGTTTTCCAAAGATTAAGGGAGACAAACCTCAAAGTTCAATTAGACAAATCCGAATTTTTGAAAAAGGAAGCAGCTTTTCTTGGTCACATTGTCACATCGCAAGGAGTAAAACCAAACCCCGACAAAATTCAAGCCATTCTCAAATATCCATTGCCCAGAACCACCCGCGAAATTAAACAGTTTTTAGGATTGATTGATTATTATCGTAAGTTCATTAAGGACTTTGCAAAAATCACTCGCCCTTTCACCCTATGTTTGAAAAAAGGAGCAGAAATTAAACATGACGATAAATTTCTCAAAGCTCTTGAACATTGTAAGAATCTTTTAACAAATGGACCATTATTACAATATCCGGATTTTGAAAAGCCCTTCGTATTGACTACCGATGCAAGTAATTTTGCTGTATCAGCTATACTTTCTCAAGGCCCTATTGGCTCTGACAAACCAATAGCTTATGCGTCTAGAACATTAAATAAATTACAGTGCGACAGAAAAAGAATGTTTAGCAATAGTTTATGGAACTAAGTATTTTAGACATTATCTTTTTGGACGAAAATTTAAAATTGTAACAGACTGCAAACCGCTACAGTGGTTAATGACTTTAAAAGAACCAAATTCTAGATTACAAAGATGGCGCTTAAAATTATCCGAATTTGAGTATGAAGTTATATACAAAAAGGGTCAAGAAAATAAAAATGCTGATGCACTTTCTCGTATTCAAATTTACGCTACCGAAATTGATCCACAACCTTCTACATCACAAATCCAAGATGAAGAAGAGTCCCCATTTATCCGATACATGAAAACCTTCAATAAAGACTTTTCCGAAAAACCTGCAGATGACCAAACGTCTATAGAAAATAATGTAGGTGATGAACAAACAGTACGCAATTTGCTAGACTTGAGTGAACGAGTTGAAAACGTAACTATTCACTCAGACGATGAAAACCCCATTCAAGAAATTAACCCTGTAGAAAAACCTATCAATATTTTCAAGTACCAAATTTTTGTTAGAAAAGCCATTATGCCCAGAAAACTCACACTTTAAACCTTGTGGGATCCGAAGAAATTCTTATACACATTGTATATTGTTGATGGTGATTTAACTCCTATTATACACTTTCTGAAAGACTACGGTGTACCAAAAAGTACTTGCATTTTATTTTGAAGATAATAATAACGACGAAATGTATAAAAATCTCGCGAACCTTGTATCTAATACATTCAAAAGTTCTGCGTTCAAATTAGTTAAGTGCAGTAAAAAGCTTGAAAATATTACTGACGTTTTGAGACAAGAGGAAATCATGAGGTATAATCACGAAACCAAAACTAATCACCGAGGAATCATTGAGACAGTGAACCAAATTAAAAGAAAGTATTATTGGCCCCACATTGATGATGACGTGAAGTTATACGTCAATACTTGCGATATTTACCAGCGAGGTAAATATGAAAAACAAAATAATGTCCATATATCCATTCTGGAAAAAGCAATATCGCCCAAAATGAGGATTAATAAATGGTTTAGGATCAATTATCAAAATGATTTCAGGGAACTTAGATGATGACGATGCTAAAAAATATGACCAGGCTATTGAACAATTACAGAAAAATCAGAACCAAGTAATTAAGACAGTTAATCAGCAAATTTCCTTGACCCACGAAGTTCTCAAAAATAACAATAAGACATTTAGCCTTATGGTTCACAATCAAGCTGTAATCGAACAAACTTTGGTAGAGATGCAAAGGAACAAGACATACTATTTTACTATTTTGGATACACTATTACAAATAAAGTTCAATTTAGATACACTGCTCTCTATAACTAGTAATTTGGAATATGCCATCGCATTTGCCAAAATTGGGTCATTGCACCACAGTATTATTTCGATAGACGAATTAAAGTCAATATTCCAAATATTAGTCAAAAGTCATAATAAAGCTCAGTTGGTGTATTCAGACACCAAAGATATTTATAAGCTTTACGACATAATTTCAGTAGAAGCATATTTTTCCCAAAATCGATTAGTTTTTGCCTTACATGTTCCGCTTATGCACGTAGACAAATTTAAGCATTATCATCTTTATTCCATTCCTACTGTTAACCTAACTACCATTATTCCCAAAAATTCCTATTTCACAATGAGTACCAAAATGTACCAATATGATGCTGAACCATGTCAAATGATAGAAGATATTTTTATTTGCCACGAAAACAAATTGGTCCATGTTGCAGAAGAAGAAGACGATTGTCTATTTGCTATTTTACAAGTAAACAAAAAGCAGCCAAATTGTAACAAAATTCCCGTAACTCTTAAAATGGCCTTAATTGAAGAAGTTTCAGAGTCCAAATACATTGCTATTTTTCCGAAACCTGAAAAGCTGCTAATCAAGTGTGAACAAGATGACGTCATAGAGTTAAAAGGCATTTACCTACTTGAAGTGCCTTACCAGTGCAGCATACAAACGAAGGACTACATTTACAAAAATCAAAAAGGGACAACCATGGAAAAGCCGCTGTTGCTTCCAGAGGTCCACATTTCATCAAAAACAGAAAATCCAAAGGAAATCAAGTTAGTACACATTTCCTTAGATAAACTTCATCACTTGCAAGAACGAGCCGACCAAATCCAGTTAGATCTTCCCGAAACAGTGAAGCACCCCTACAAATGGAGTCTACCCCTGTATGCAATTATGTTAATTGGAATTGCATGCATTTTCGTGAAAAAGTATTACCAGAGAAGAAAAGGATCAAGAAGAAGCCAACAGTTAGAAGAAATCGAAATGCAACCCCAGAGGCACGAAGTTTTGTTTGTGCCCTCCAAAACTTCATCTTAAGGGTGGAGGAGTTATGTTGCTGTCATTTAACACTTTATTAATTGATATAATAATTGCACTGTATTCCTTTTTGCTAGCTCATCACTTTTGGTTTATATTAACGATTGTATCTTAATTATGAGTCAGTCATTCAATCTCAGTCACAGCGAACACACACACTGTAATTCCGGTTCGGTCCATGGTAACTATTGTTGGAATCAAATAAAGTTTTTTAAAAACGAAGTTTGAAGTTCCGACTACATAATTCGTGCAAAAAATAGGTAGGGGGACTTTTCCGAAAAGCACTGTATAAATGCCCGCCCAGGAAACCGTACAAACCTTTGCCCTTTTGATTATGTATTCCAGCTCTTTTCGGTAGATTTCACGAGGAATATTTGAATAGATTTAACTCCTTTATGGTGCTTTGTTTAGTAAGCATGAACCTTATTTTCAAGAAATCCCCACGAAAAGAGGCCGTTAAAACTGTTGATTTTGTAATAATAAGTAACATAGAACCAGATTGGTTATCATTGATAAGACAGATGACAATATTGTATAAGCGAGTATTAAAAAAACCTTGTTTGATCATTCTCATTTAACATTTCTATACATAGTTCCATATTAATCTTTGATGTTTGATTTAGATTTTTCAAAAGTACTGATGCCAGACATGATATTATTTGTATAATATGAAATAATAATCGAATTTGAATATATATATATATATATATATATACCATTTTTTGTAGGCGTTGAATTGTACCAAGTATATTTACCTGAGTCTTCAGCAGCTGCAAAAACAGCCCTAAAGAAAAAAATAGCAAAAATTGAGCACAAGTATTTCATTTAGTACAAATTTGAGTAACGTCGGTTATGTAGGCACTTGTTCTCATAATCTCTTGGTTATATACGCAACAGCTGATACAAAAAATATTATCTGTAAGTGCTTTTAGTGTGAGATTAAATATTATAGATTATATGAAAAACGCTGTAACTTACGATTTTAATGTCAAATTTGGTACTAACGATGACCAAGCTATTCATTTTAATCTTTTTGACTGCTCTGGATCGCATCATGCGGTCAAGGTGCTGAATTGCTTAGATAATATATAATATATCTACCACCAACTAGGAGCGCGACATACTTAGGGCTAATGTAACCGAAGCTTACCTGTCTGCTCACAAAGATATTGAGTTTTATTTCGCCCAACGCAAAAACAGTTCTGAAGGAGTTACTTATCGGCCAATGACTTAAGACGGATTTTACTTATTTCGCCTACTGGCGGGGAGGTTTTGTAATTGCGAAAAATTATAAAATTGGATATTATGTCTCATGGTTGTTAAATGACATGTACATCATGGATAACCATGTCACTCATTTCTGTAGGTCGGTCTGTCTGTCCGCTGATCCTTTGTCCGCCTATAACTTGGAAAGTACCGGTCAGATTATGATGAAACTTTCGCACAAGGTTTCAGCTATGCCAAGGACGGAAAAGCTTTGTGGTTCTTGAAAATAGGTCCAGTGGCGACGAAGAAAAAGGCAAAAAATATAAACTTTGGCATTTGACGTTCCAAAGGGTTCTATTCAATTTTGTAAAGGTAAATGATTGGAGGGTTTGGAGTTGTAGGGAGTGGGGGAAGGTGTATTGAAATTTTTTGATGTTGTCTACCAATCCCGATAATATATCATATCAAATATATTTCACACATAATAGATTGCCTCCTATATTAGCCCTTAAACATTAGAACAGTCTGCTGACTTCCACGGCCATGGCCGGCGTGCCATTGTTTGCATGTGTCCTGCATGACTGGTGATCTATGGGCGCTCTGCCGTCTGAAACTCATGGTGCATCCATGGTACTATGAGAAGAGTAAAAGGACTAATTATACGGAGCTGTTTGAATGACTTGATTCGTTTGATTTCTCTGTTATATATGTTAGTAGCTAACTTTTTTCTTAGAAGGTCTAACTTACGCATGCTGCTTTTCTCCTATCCAACCAAAGACAGCCAACCACAGAGAGCTGTTCCGTGCTTTTCTCGCAACTCATCAGCATGCTCTAGGCTTGGTATCTGGGACAATGAACAAAAACATAGCAACTATCCTCCATCCAGGATATAAGGTCTATGGCCCTTATTTCGATGGGGTCTAACTTGTGCGGAACATGATCCTTTACGAACTGATAATGGTGTTTCGTGTGAAGAGTCAACTCAATATATTTGATGGCATTTTTTTATAAATGAGAGTAGATACAACCGATAACATATGCAAGAAGTCTCTATTCACGCATAACCATCTATTTGGATGGAAAACGATATTTGTGTGTGTGAGATCAAATTGGAATCGAGTGAAGTGAACAACACAAGTCTCATAACTGGAGATATATTCCTCGAATACTTAAGAAGGATATATAGGTCAAATCATCTGTTGAACAACCGTTGCACAGTCAGAAGGGAGACTCAAATATACCAATTTTATTTAGATGGGCTAGGAGGTTAGCATGATCAATTTTCATAAGCGTGATCATGAGAACCTAAGCTTTAGAATGGGAAAATCAAATTTGATATACTATTGGGTAATTCTGGGTGTAGTTTGTAGTAGTGACTATTTGAGAAACTTTCAGCCCTTCTATACGTTGACTTCTATCTGTTCATAGTGTTTCGTTTTAAAACTGGAATCATCTCAAGGTCAGATGGAGAGTCCAGTTTTAGGCTAGTTGAGCATGATTTTTTAGACCTAAGTCAACGTGGTCATTATAGCTTGCAATGCCTGCGTGACCTTTCATCTACACGAAATTTACCCTTTTATTATATCAAGTACTAATTTAGTCCTTAACTTCAAAATGATCTCGTCCAAGTCCAGTGCTGACTTAGTGATTGAGGTTTTGCGTGTTATTCTTACTTTTCAGCGCAAGTCACGCTCTCACGATTTCGACAGCCGCAGATTATGTAGTTTGTGTGGACGCGGTAGGTTTCGACCTCTACAGATACTATACGGGTATAGGCAGAAACCTTCAGTATCTACAAGTTGTGATGACACTTTTAGAAAGCTATGTATTATATTTAAAGCCCTATATCATAAACTGAAACATTTCATTAAACGAGCTGGTATTATTACATACAAGATCAGATTATGCGATTTTAAAGAATGAGACAGAATCGATACAGGATGGAAAATTTTAAAGCTTGGGAAAATTAAAATGGTACATAGTTGCAATATTCTGGAATCCTCTAGTTGAATATTTGGGCCGTGAATTTTCAGCGGTAAGTTCTATAGTTCGGTATACGCTGTGCTTTGTATTCTAATTATAAATGGTCAGTTTTGGTAAAATGACTATCGACGTCACACTCGGAATAGATAAATTGATCTATATCTTAGATAACACATTTTCGTGCCTTTTCCACTATTCGTGATTACTTGCATTAAAATACAAAATCCGTTTCATCGGCTGTACAAATAAATATGACTTTTGCAGAACAAAAACATTATCATTTACCATCAAGTATAAAGTAAGTTGAAAATGCTTCACCTCCAGTCAAGTAGAATAATACAAAAATCAAGTTACGTCAAGCATTAACGTTTCAAAAATATCCAGCTGCTCCCACCTTCACTCATGGGAGGGGAGTACAAAGTACTCACCATGCCAGCAGCACCGACGTACTACAGGGCGTGGATACATCAGAACATCTAGAAAAACAGGTTTCCTAAAAGAAACTGTTGCAGAATAATGTTACGGGTTTGAAAGAAGTCATCTAAAAGTGACCTTAAAATAGATGTTTTCCATTAAAAGTTCATTAAATTTTCAAATGACCTTAATGCTCATAGTCAAGGTCATATACATACACTACTTGGACATAAACTTTCTTGCTCGTTACATTTCCGGTGCGAAACCTTTTTTCATTTGTTCTGCGACATTCTTTTTGGAACGTGTTTATCGAGATATTTTATCCCTGTCCTAATTGTTGGATACCCACAAATACCCATGAAAGTCATGGCCAAAGACATACTTGAACAGAAAGTTTCGCCCAAAATATGGGGTCCCATTTGAGAAAACTGTCTTGACCTTCAAATGACTTTAAGTATCGTCAAATTAAAAGACTCTTGTCTTTCCTACCAACTTTCTATAACATCTTTCTCCAGGTAATGTATTTTCGAGGTATTTTGATGTATGCATAATTTTTCGACACCAGGTATACAAAAGTTGCATGATTTCAACCCAGGCTGAATATTATATGCTCACTTTTTATTTCTGCGACTATAACCTACCGCATACACTGTTGTGTCATGCTTTTTGGAAATAATGAATATGGTAGAGGTATAGTTATTTGGAGGTAGGTGGAGGGAAACAGAAAACGAAGTCTATTGAAAAACTATTTATTACCTGACGCGGGGGTCTGTAGTACCGCGATTGACAAAATTACTCATAGGTGGTAGAGTCACCTTCATCTTTCGCACGTTTGTATATTACGCACGGCTCTGAGGCATCTGGATGCAAACCACTTTGCACTTCAACTGTTTTATTGCAGCCGGAATAATGTGCGGCTCATAAGCACTCTATCGTCAACATCTCAACATATCGGCGAACAGTCTCCAGAATCGAAGTGGCAGGGCAATGACGGTTACCAACACTATGGTACCAAAATAAATTTGATTAGCCAGGAAGGTCTTAACTTCTTGAAAAGAATTTACCCCGGATTGTCACTAAATAAGCCAGACATTATTCAGCGTTTACATAGGTGAGGTCTGCGTTTGTTAGCTGGGATATATCATCCTAGATCTTACGCTGTACCTGCAGTTCTACGCCTGGCAGCTTTTATTTTCTACGATTCAGGAAAGAATGTGAAATAACACGCAGTGAATTAAACAAGCTTGTATTTTCCGAACTCTAATTTAGCACAGCAAACAAATAATATGTAAAATACAATAAAAGTGTCACACCCAGAAAACATAATTTCTTCAACTTGTTTTTTTTGTCAACATAGTGACTATATATGAATCATGATGTGGCAACAATGTCAACGTTTTATCTTTGTTTTTGCTTACCTTTGTTAAAATATCATCTCTTAGTTTTTGTGAAGACAAAAGTTTCTGAGAGCTGAGTAGTACAGATATTTTTAGTTATTGCCCTTTCACTTTAGTGTTAAGCATAACAAAATGCCTTGAGTTCAAAGACGTCCAAGTTATCACCATGTTAGCGACTTTGACAGTGGTAGAATCATTGCTTTTTGAGATTTTGGTTTGTCCTATCGCACAATTGGCCGTCGTGTTAATTTTTCTTTAGTAACGATAATGCGTGTGTCGTGTGAAGTTCGAGGAACATGAATAAATCCAGCTTTTCCACCGAGGCGTATCACAGAGCGTCAAGGCGCTTCAAACAACTAGCCCTACTAGTCCATTATGCTACTACGTGTCAGATCGCTGACCAATGGTTTGGAGAAGAAGGTAGACCTGTCACTTTGAGTACGCTCTATCGCTGCATTCGAGGCTTTGGAATTTCTTCGATCGTCCACGGTTAGTGCTTCGTCTGACTGCGGAGAACGGCAACATTGGGAGGGAGAATGGCATAGTGTCATCTTCAGCGCCAAATCGCGATTCTGTATAGGTACGCACGATGGTCGTAGAAGGGTAACACGCCGCCGTGAACAACGACGTGATATTGAATTTGCTGTTGAGAAGCATGTAGACAGGACTGTTGGAGTAATGATTCAGGGGGCCATTGCCTATGGTAGCCGATCACCCCTCCTCTTTGTTCAATGCAATATGATTGGTGCGCGTTATGATGTTGATGTCTTATAAATAACTCTACTGCTGTATCTAGAGTGCCGTCCACACGTTCTTTTTGAGCAAGACACCGCACGTCCTCATATTGCTCGTCGTACTGCGGACTTTCTTC